GCTCAGGGTTGACTCAGCCTTCCATCCTTCCGAGGTGGGTAAAATGAGGACCAGGATTGTTGTTGGGGGCAATATGCTGACTCTGTAAACCGCTTAGAGAAGCCCTATGAAGTGGTATATAAGACTAACTGCTATTACTATTACTAAGTGCCATTAAAAACAACAAAGTAATACAAAACCCAGACTACATAATGAATAACAATAACAAAACAAAAAAAATGGTAGGCAGTATATGTACACAGATTCAAATCAAGAACAGCATTCCTCTGTACACTTTTTATATTTACATTCTAGTGGGATTTATCGGAAACGATAGTTTTACAGAAATAAAAAAAAAAAAACCCCATTCATACAATACAAATGTCTTTGGAGATATACTGACAAAACTTTCGCAACAGATTGAGTTGGAAGGGGGAAAATTATAGCGGACGTGATGGGATATGACCTGCAGTCTTTCCAAAATTATTCTGCCATCCATGCAGAAAATGATCTGTATTTTTTTGGTTTAGGTCCATTAAGGAGAGGAAAAAAAACCACCTTCATGCATATTGTAAAATGTTCTCAATAAATATAGTTCACAAACTGCATTTCAGTATGAATTATAAGGCCAAAAACTACCAAGACTCATATATAAAAGTAGAGAAGAGCAAATACATTCATTTTTTTTCTCAGTCCCTAATTCTTATGAAACTGTGAAGTTAATTCTTTTCAGATCCTAATTTTTGCAAATATATATGGTTTGGTTTATTGCACTTAAGGTTTTTTTTTAGGGGGGGGGGACTATTAACCTGATACATATTGTGGGACAGATGTCTATGTCCATACTCTTGTTTGCAATTTTATCTATTATGCAGGAATTTTATGAATATGTCCCCTAACATAATGGAGATTTATTTCATTTATTTGTTTATTTGTATCCCACCTTTATTATTTTTACAAATAAGGCAGCAAACATATCCAACTTCCTCCTCCTATTTCCCCCCACAACCACCCTGTGAGGTGAGTTGGGCTGAGAAAGAATGACTAGCCAAGTCCCCCACCTGGCTTTCATGGCCAAGGAAGGGGAGTAGAATTCATGGTTTCGAGCCTGCTTAACCACTAGATTAGAGGTGCCAAACTCACAGCCCACAGGCTGGGTGTGTTATGTACTGGCCACACCCACAGCTGGTTTAGTGAAGGGGGGGGAGTCATGATATGTCACATGACGATGCTGTGACGATGTGAGTTTGACACCCCTGCACTAGACCAAATCTGTTCTGTAATTTTTGTACACAATTTCATGAAGAAATGCATGCTGCACATCTATGAACTACAAAAGTCAGGAAAGTGTATTTTAATCAGTAGCTAAATGTCACTTCGGCTAAAATGCAAATCAATTGAATTCATTTCTGGCCCTAATCATGGGTATGGCTTGATTTCTTCAAGAAGTGAAAGAGTGGGGGGAAAACCCTCTGGGTTTGTGCAACGTATTTAGAAATCTAAGTCCAACCCTTTATAAAGTAGCCATCTCCATATATATAGAAAGCTGTTGGGCACTGCGATTCTCTGCTACTCCTGAAAGCAGCATGAGAATCAATTGAACATTTAAGAGATGCTTTGAACATGAAAGAGGCCGATGCACAGATGATGGGTTCTTCTCTGCTAGACATACATACTGGGTATTTACATCTTCTACAACTGTAAACATACAACTATATTCAAGTTCAGAATTACAGCTAGGAGTTGTGGTTCACCATGGGACCATGCCCAATTTTATACATTTTCTTTGCAGTGGTTGTTAAATGAACCCATTTTTCTTATTGTGTGCTTTTTTATGGAAACCAGAAGTAAATGCCAGAAACTGGCAAAAAATACTGAACATTGTAATCATGTGCCTGCATATAGTTGTAAATGCAGGTTTGGTGTGTGTGTGAACTCCAGAACCAGAACCTCTAATGAGGTCAGTCATAACTTTGAATGGGTCACTAAACAATTGGTCATTAGGCAAGGACCACCTGTATTTATATCCTCCAACATATGACATGTTCAGGGGATTGGACTTCTCTACTACACAATTCCAAACTTTCCTTCCAATTTTATGTGTCTGTTGTTTTATAAAGCACATAATTTCCCTAAAATAAAAGCAAAAAATAAAATACCTTGCTAAACTCACACTGATCCCATGTTGCCAGGAACTTTCAGAAGTAACTTGAATGGAAGAATAACATGTGTTTAGAAAAGGTTGGGTAAAAATTGGAAGCAGCCGTTGGTGGGAATGATATAGAAATGTCACTTTTATGACATCTTGCACGATGCATTGCAGAAGTGAACGGCCATTCATTAAGAATGCATATCACAGAAGATTTAAAAAACAAAGCGAGAGAGGGAGAGATAGAGAGATATATAAAGAGATAGGAAAAGTATTTCAGGAACTGGAAGGCTGCAGCATAATTGAATAAGCCTGACTCTCTCAAGCTGCTGCACTCCAAACGGCCTTCAGTTCTACTCTGTAAATGACTGACTTAATGGAAGTCTAAAAATAACAGAAAGCATCTCTTTGAAAGACCTGAGAAGCTGGTATAGAATAATCTTAGTTGTGACAATAAGGAGTTTTAACTTTATAATGTGGCACCTGGATAAGCTTTGAACAAAAGGTATCAAAAACCCTGAAGAATCAATAGCTGGTGAGAGAACTTTGGTCTTTGGACAGGAATTCTGCCAACTTCTTATCCAAACACAGAATAGAGTGGCAGTAAACACATCCACACTGATAGGAAAATATATTATTACATATTATAAACACATATATACAGAAGTTAAAATGGATGGTGTTTTACTTACAAAGTACATGCCATCTGAAAATCTTAAAAGCCCTCAGTTGACCTGCAAAGGGAGGGATATGGCTAAGCTATGTGATACCAACACTAGAAGTTTGGTATACAGTAGGTGTGCAAAGATCACGAGGCACTTTGCACATTGTTAACGCTTATCAGGTTTTCTAGCAATTCATTTAGAAGGTGAAATTTCAGTGATTAAGTCCCAGTGGAACTAACATTATTTTTCAACTTGTTATTTTCCTTGTCTTAACTATTTTTGTTGTTTTTATTTAAAGTCTCTGTTATACCTTTGCAACATCAAGATTGTGAAGTCTAGGGTCCACTGATTATTTACATATTGCAGAGTGAGGAGCAATAAATAATGAACTTTGTGAAGAAATGTTCTTTTGAACAGACTCATCAGTAATTGCCAAATTGGCTTCCAGTGGCAAAAAAAAATGTGGTTGTTTCCAATTTAGGTTTGCAACAACCTTTCTTCTCCGTTATCAATGAAATCAGGGTTTTATTATCATTTCTTCCTTGATGGCAAAACGTTTTCACTTCACAAGGTCTATGCCGGTGTAGACTAGATTTCTGTCAACGTGACCTTGAAACCCTCCATTATGTTCTCCATGTTTAGGATAAAAGTGTCTTCATTGGAATAATGTTCAATGATGTTATCATCCATATTTACCAGAATCCTGAAACAGGAAAGAGATACATTAAGAAAGTTGAGATAATGGCTAAATACACAAACTCATAATACAAGTTTTTTCCCCCCCATTTTGATTCAATCCCAAAGGTGCTTTTTCAAAAGGCAACTGGATCTTCAAGGGGGAAAAAAGTCCAGTTGCCTTTGGAAAAAGCACCTTTGGGACAACCATGATCTGGATGACTTGGGAGTCTCCATAGACATTTTGATTCAGCTTGTTGTATAAACTATCCATTGTGATTAGCATGCCTTCCGAACTCAGACAATTCTAGATTATTCAATAAATCATGGTTGTAAAACAGTAGCTTTGTGGCTGTGGAAGTCTATCAATTAAGGGATAGATTTAAATTGATGGTTCAAGGTTGTGTGCAAGGATTTTATTTTATGTTAGCCATTTGTACGAGGGCCTTGACAAAATTCACAGGCAAACTCATTCTCCAACTTGAAATCCAACTCCAAGTTGTCCCATAAAATGTTTTGTGATTCTTTGTCCTGAGTCAATATGCATATTCTTCTAACTGTTAATGATTCAAATTCATATTAATTCTCCAGTTAGGTCCATGCTAGGGGAATCCCACTTAATTCTCCTGTGCAACTTCTTATGTTATTTCATTGTATTTTTAAAAAAATCTTTACAATATAATTCCTGTGCACCACAGCAGGAAGTGGAAAGCATACATTCCAGATGCTGCTGGATTACCACTTTAATATACCTTCATCTTCACCTTAGGCCATTGTGAGGGGAATGGGTTAAGCCACGATAGTATACAGAACTGATAAAACATTTGCTTGAGGCTCATGGCCAGAGAATAGACAATATCAAGCTTGATTTACTGATGCTGTGGTGCAAGACCATTGGAAATTGTCAGGAGGTGAAGCAAGATTCCATAGAGGAATTTGTAGGTTAGACATCTACAGTTAAATTATGGTAAGTTAACTGAAGGGAAATCAAGATAGTGACCTCATTTAGGTGTTCCAACAGAAGAGAATATATGTACCACAAAGTTGAACTGTGGAGTCCTTGATGCTCTCTGAGCCTGGTTGTTAAATTGCAGATGTTTTATTACCCAACCAGGTAACATCAGTGCTACTGAATGTGGGGTTGTATACAATAACTTGTCCTGCCAGTGTTGATGAAGGTGTGGTTTTCTCTTTACTGTAGACTGCTGGGGAGGATGCGTTGTAATACATTTACACATTATTCAAAAGAGGCAATTAAAAAATTAAGAAGGAAACAGGAATTTCTATAGCTGGCATCTTACAAGGGGTTCATTTTCATGCTGTTATCATTAGGTGAATTGTAGCTTTGTTACTTATGCCTCAGCTACTTGGGTCAAAGCACAAAGCCAAATTGAGAAGTCCCAAGGGCATTGTTTGCAACAAGTAGGGTAACTGAGGACCCATTGAATAAGCATGTGTGTGGTAGCCCACTATGGCTCTCCAAATAACACAAGTGATAGGGGTAGAAACTGTGCTGATACAGCTTCCAAAGTCTATACTGAAGGTCCCAAGCTATTAACCTCCAAGAACAATTTCTACTAATCTGCTGGACTACAGAAGAACTGGGCTACAATTCACACCATTCACAGCATCTCCGTGCTGTTCAATGATTGGATATGTTCAACATATCTGGAGGGCACCAAGTTAAGGTATATTATAGCAGAACCGCCCAGATTAATTAGAAGCCAGTGGTTGATTTGATATCTATTGCAATCCCTGTGTGAACCTGGATCTGGGAATCTGTCTTGCAGTGTGAGCATATATCAGACCGTGAAAGATTTAAAAGCTTAGCTGCGGTCTCAGGACTATTTTATAAAAACACGAACTGCAGGATTAGTTGATTTCTCTTACCCTTTTTTGCTTTTTTTATAAAGCTTTGTAATCTTCTCAGCTGGAAGGCCATATTTCTCAGAAATCTATATTTTAAAAAAGAAAAGAAAAGGAGAGATTTATTAAAAGCAAACCTACTGCAGAATCACCACCCTCAGTTAGAATTAGGCAATTCATAGCAGGCTACACAATGTCCTTTCTTAGTGCTGCAGAACCTGGAGATTGCACTCCAGGTTCGGCAGGACAGAGTGGGACTTACACACAGGAAATGGAGCACTCTTAGGTGTAGCTTCCTGCCACTTTTAGTATTTTAATATTTACCTATACTACACTTTCTGTGTGGTTTCCTTCTTATGGCTTTCATCTCTACTGATTTAAAGCAGGCTTCTCCTCTAAAGAATGAATTAAGATCAACTCCTCCGAGAACTGAGCCCCTAAGATCAAAAGTGAATCTCCTTGCAAGAATTTTTCAGATTAGTGAAAGTGTCAGAGGTGAAATTCAGCAGGTTCTGGAGAACTGGTAGAGGAAATTTCGAGTCGTTCGGAGAACCAGAAAATACCACCTCTGGCTGGCCCCAGAGTGGGGTGGGAATGGAGATTTTGCAGTATCCTTCCCCTGCCACGCCCACCAGGCCACACTCACAGAACTGATAGTAAAAAAGTTTGCATTTCACCACTGATTCCAACTGATGCCCTAATGAAATCAGGAGCCTTAAGCAAAGCCTAAGAAAAATCCAGTTGTTTATAAGGAGTGCCATGTCAGCACGGACCCAAGTGAAGGCAGCTCTGGCTTCATTTGGTTCGCGCTTTGCCTCTGACCCTGTTTCCCCCTCCCGCCCAAGGTGTGTAATCAGTCACATTCCCCAACAAAGCAAACATGGGTTGTAAAAATCACTCCCTCCAGCCGTTGCATGTTTCTGTGGAGATGGCCTTGACTTTGGCCAGCTAGGAGGTGTTTTGACTGAGGTGCAAATTTCTCGATGCAGCTGCGAGGCTCGATTCCCCATCCCCCTGCCTATGGCAACTCAGGAGCAGGTCAGGAAATCTTCGTGAGTTGACAGAAAGCAATTTGGGAGTATACCATGATCTGATACTGATACTGTGCCTAAATTTCCAAATGTTGAAGGTAACAAAGAGTATTCTAAGCAATGGCAATACACTTGCCTTGCAACCAATCATACTTTGGTTTCATGAAACCAGACAGATGGAAATATATGGCACAGCCTTATAGAGTGCCCAGAAGCTTCACTTGATGAAAGCTGGGGTGGGAGGAAGCTGTTCCAGGCAGAGCATTATGATCAGATTGCATTTACAATCCCAAACCACACATTTTGGCATAAATGAAAATAAAGTTGGAATACAGCAAGCAAGGCGGATCCTTTTCAGAGGCTCCGGTTTTAGTTGAATCTGTGCTGTACAACTAGTGCCCAACTGGGCATACAGAAGCCTAAAAATTATTCCTTCTCTGTGCCATCTGGAAATCTGGGGAGTTTAATTGGACACATTGTCAGAAAGCCAAACTGAAAAAGGTTCTAAGCTACAGCATCTTATAAAGAAGACAATGAATCATCAGCCCTCATCCCCAAAGGAGAATCCTGATGAAGCATGAGATAACAGATCTTAGAACTTAGTTGATTCTAAGAAAATGTTAGCACCCAAAGGAGTGAGTTATACCAGTTATTTCACATATATTATAACCAAAATATTTCAAGTTATATGTGCAGAGTGGAATCTTTGATCCCCATTTATGGCATTAACCAAGACTGAAGAGAAAGATTCTTGTGAGAGATGTTGCTGGCAAAAGAGAAACACAAATGATTCCCAAAAATACTGGAATTAATAGACGAGGCTCTGACATACTACCATTATCTCAACTATTCACAAAACTGCCTTAATATGATTTTGCAACTCCGTATGTGCAAGCTTTTTCTAGAGTTATTCCAACAGAAAATCTCCCAAGTAATGGCTGAACATTCTTTCCCCTTCTGTGTTTCCCATATGTTCTCAGTACTGCGGTGTTTCCTCAAAAATAAGACAGAGTCTTATTTTTTTTGCCCCCCCCCCAAAAAAATAAGCTCTTGTCCTTATTTTCAGGGAGGTCTTATTATTTTTGAGGTGCAGGAGGCAGTGAGTGTGGTCACCTCATGGCTGCTGCTGCGCTGCAATATTTTCGGGGGAGGGATTATTTTAGTGCATGCGCTCAAAAACCCAATTGGGCTTATTATCTGGGGAGGGCTTATTTTGGAGAAAACAGGGTACCAGAATAGTTCTTCCATCTTGATAATGCTTAGAAGTTTTAATCTATCCATCTATGTTTATGCAAACTGGGAGCAGATGCATGGCAGCATGTTCTTCACTTAAGAAATGCAGATCTCAGAATTGTTTCTGCATTCTTAAAGGACACACTCCGCTGTCTTTATAAATTAAACAAACTAACTTTTCAGGGACACTCAAATTGGGAAAACACGTCAAGAGAGGTTGGGGAGGGGATACAGGCTGTCCCTGGCAACCAGATTTCACAACACATCAAAGCAAACACCTTTCCCCATTGCAGGTCAACACAATCAAATTGCAGACCTAAAACGAAAGGATTAAAGGATCACCTCATCTACATTTCTGCACTGAGAAAGCAGCTCTGAGTTGGATCAGAATAGACTAGACAAAGAGAGCGGGAGGTAATATTTAAGATTCCTCCTTTTCCTTATTCCTTCTTGTGCCTCTTGAAAAAATTCCAGAGAGCACTTCACAGCAACAGTGCAGAAGGCTGCTGGAAAATGACAACAGGAAAGGATATATCAGTATGTGGACTTCTGATTTCCAGAATTCCCCAGCATGCTTGCTAGGAAATTTTGGGAATGGAAGACCACATTCTATCAAAGTTGCTAAAGCTGAGAAACATTGGATTAAACTGTTCTTTTCCTTTAGAATGGAACTTCTGATCTCCAGTGCGGTCCCCTTAAATACAATTCCAAAATCCTAATGGCCAATTGTGATTAATTTCAAAGTGTCTAAAACTCAACCTTGTTTTAGTTATGATCATACATTTCCTCCTCGACACCATTGCTTTAGACAAACTCAAATGGCTCTGAATTTCTGTAAATTCAGAGCCATTGAGGGGTGTGTGTGCTCAAAAGTGATTGAAATGCAAGGGGAAAAAAACTAATTGGGGAAACAAAAGAACAGGATGGATGACTTTATATAGTTATCCTCAGGGGTGGTATTCCCTTACCTTCCCTACCAGTTCGCAAAGGTAAGCGCATGCACCCCGTCTGAAATGCACTCAGCCTTCTGCGAATGTGCTTTGACTTTAAAAAGTGCCTAAATGGGATGGCATAGACCCGGGGCGGATGGGCAGGACAACCCACGATTTCCGCTACCGGTTCAGGCAAACTGATCTGAACCAGCAGAATACTACCTCTGGTTATCTTCCTAATATGCATAATCAGGTCAAATGTTCCCAGCTCATTAGTGCAATTGATCACTATCCCTGCTTATCCATATTGAAGGTTCAGATATACTATTATGGAAATGATATGGTACAAATATGGTGCATGTCATATGTTGACTTGTATCATGTGCATGATGAAATTGTTGCAGATACGTACTTTCTAATTTAACAGGTAAAAGAGATTGAAGACAAACCATTTTCTCAGTCAAGAGCTCACTGTATTTTTTTTAATTCAGAACGTAACAGAAAAGTTCCCTTTGCTTATGGACAGCCTGGCAGACTTTATTGATTCCACAATTGGTGGTGAATGACTGCTCTTAATTGAAAAAAAACTATTTGCATAATGCCAATGAAAAGGAAAATACTGGCATGAAAACTAGTTATGCGAGGTCTTTCCCTGCACAATGGTTCTTTACACTTAAAGCAGACTATTAAATCTTGTTTGCTCGGTTTGGCTTTCCAGCAATTTGAAATGAATTATCTCTATAATCTTTTTTGCTTTCTCACTCTTTTTTCTCTGTTTTTAATTTTATTGTGAATGTGTTTTTAAGTCTTTTAATTATGTCTTAATTTGTATTTGCAATTCAGCTTTGGAATCTATTCTGAGCAAAAAGGCAACTTGGAAATTAATGAAGAATCACTTCACACCTTTCCTGTGAAGAGCCAAGCCAAGGGAAAATGGCAACAGAGAAAACCTCTTAAGCAGGGGTGTCAAACTCAAGGCCCAGGGGCCGGATCCGGCCTGCATGGTGTTTAGATCTGGCCTATGAGGCTGCCCTGGAAACAATGAAGGACCGGCTCGCAGTACCTCTGCCAAAGGAGGGTGGAAGGGCTGCAGGCAGCCCTCCCGAGCTCCATTTTCACTGGCAGAGGGTTGCAGGAGGTCATTGCAGCTGAAAATGGAGCTCGGGAGCCTGTTTTCGCTGGCAGAGCACTTGGGCTGCATAGGCACCCCCGACACGAGTGATGTCAAACTGGCCACAGCCACCATGCCCCCTCATCCCCTCGAGGTCAAACACAACCCTGATGCGGCTCTCAATGAAATCAAGTTTGACACCCCTGTTCTTAAGCAATGTTAAGGGACTTTGTCTTGCTCTTCATAAAGATAGAAACAGCAGTGCTGCCCCACAAGCAAAAGCAGGAAGAATTTTGTCATGAAAACAGGAGGCAGATAATCAAAAAATATTCAGTTGGCACCGACAGCAAACAGATTCAATAGTTGTTGTTTTGAGCTTTATGGATATGGTGGCAAATTATTGCAAGCCAGGGATCTGAGTCACTGCTTTTAATCACTTACTAGTAATTTCTAGCTGTCAATAATGACTGGTTAGACTCTTAATAACAGCCCCGAGTTATCCAATTTCCAGAATTGTTTTTCTGAACTATGCGGTACTTAACAAATATTCTATTTAGTATGTAGAACTGATTAGTCCTAGAAGAGATCAATCGTGACTGCTCTTTAGAAGGCCAGATCCTGAAGATGAAACTCAAATACTTTGGCCATCTAATGAGAAGGAAGGACTCACTGGAGAAGAGCCTAATGCTAGGAATAGTTGATGGCAAAAGAAGAAGGGGACGACAGAGAATGAGGTGGCTGGATGGAGTCACCGAAGCAGTTGGCGTGAGCTTAAATGGACTCCACAGGACAGGACAGGAAGGCCTGGAGGAATGTTGTCCGTGAGATCGCGATGGGTCGGACATGACTTCGCAACTAACAACAACAACACATACATGCTTTATTCTGAGTATGTATATGTCCCAAATATGACTTTTTATATAGTCCTCTTATATCTTACTATTAAACAGGTCCCTCTGATTTTTCTGGAAGAAGGCTTTATAAAGTTTTATAAAGAGAAGTGGGACAGAGTATTTCAGATGGAAATATTTGCAATTTCCTGATAAAATTAAAGTTCTGTCCCTTCAAAATGGAACATTGCCTCTCCTTTGATGGTGCATTACATTGTTCTTTTCAACTTATTAAAAAGTTTTATCCCCCAAAGTCTGAATGTTATGTTCAGCAATTCTATTCTTGCTTCTTCTGAGCTTTTGACAATACAATGGCTACCTGTGAGAGCTCCTGTTGGAACAATTGGTTTGCAAGGGTGCCATATTATTTTCTTGTCTTTGGAAAAAGCAGAATGAGAAGATTTACTGCCCATTCTTCTGGTGTGCTATTGTAAAAGGACGAAAAATGATGTGAATAATAAATATAAGAAAATACTGTCAAGTATGCGAAGTATGGGTGAGCCCACAGATCAAAATTTGAAAAATGGGAGAAATATGCAAGTTGTAAACAATAGAGCTTTTGCTTTACGATTACGGTCGGTTGTAGTCCTGGAAACGTTGCTACACTTAAGGTGCCAAGAACTTCCCAACTCAAGTGGGCATAAATTTATGTATATGAGTGTGCAATTTTAAGAAAAAAAAACCTTTTATGTTGCCTTTTCAAAGTATAACATATACCTATGAAAGCTTTCCTTCCCTTATGGGAAGTGATATATGAAGGTCATCAAGATGGCACCGTTGCAAAGATTTGTAACATATCTGTAGCACGTTTGCATTGCAATGCAGCATAAATTTCAAAAGCGCATAGGTTAAAATATTTCTGCATTCTAAACCCTACCTTTTCTGGCAAACAAACCCATTTAGCAAGAGGTATCCATGAATGTGATCTGTTTACTCATTCCCACTGCCTTTCATGATGGGGTTTTTTAAAAATACACCAGGAACATAAAGTAATGTATAATAAATTATTTTTCATAAATGCAATAATATTTAATTATTATTAAAATAAACATGTTCATTTTACAAACTACAGGAAATAAATAAACTTGACTGTAAAAAAACAACCTAATAAATTGTGCAAATAAATGGATAATATTTGAATCAGAGCAAGACAGCATTATTCTAGGCACGGAAGCCATTTAGTTCCACCAATTTCCATCTTTTGTGCCTATTGGGATTGAATACCCCAGGAAGACCTGATGCATAATATAGAACTGGGGATTTTTTTCCAGATTTACTGCTTCTCCAGGAGAACTTTTGCCCAGGTTTGGTGGGTCCACCAGCTGTGTGTCATCTTGGACCAGAGATGTCAAAGGGATGGATGATACTTTTCTCATCTCTTAGGCAAACTGTTGCAGTTTGAAAATGGCTCAGAACAAAACTATGAAATTGCAGTAGAATGTACCTATTTTGGGACAACTTCACTGGTTTCCAGGAATAATTTATGGTGTTGGTTTTTGCCTATAAAATTCTTTTTAGCACAGGCTCTTGGTAACTGCGATTGTCTTTTCTAGGAAAATCCACCACTCAATACAATAATACAATACAATAGCAGAGTTGGAAGGGACCTTGGAAGTCTTCTAGTCCAACCCCCTGCCTAGGCAGGGAACCCTATACCAGTCCAGACAAATGGCTATCCAACATCTTCTTAAAGACTTCCAGTGTTGGGGCAACATTGATTTGGACAGGAAATTCTGTGGCTACCCTTGCTAGAGAGATTGGGGGGAGGGGGAGGGAAGGATGGGAAGGCCATTCACATTGGAAGAGCTTTACTGTTGAGGGTTAAATAAAACACTGATTTTTATCCTTTAAGAAACCAGTTGGGGAGTTTTAATGGAACATAGCAGCATATTTTAAAATATTTTAATACTTAAAATTGATTTTACGTATGTTTAAACTATTGAGGCGAGCCATGTAAGAGTTGCCTGAGTAAGCAGTATACACATAATCAATCAGTCTGCTCTACAGTCTTTCTCAGCAAAACAATTTCACATTTTCATCATCCCTTCTCATCTTATGCAGTCAAGAAGTCTATTTGTCACCATCCACCAACATTTTGGTTCACTCTTTCAATTTTTTGAGTCAATGGGCCTAAGATATGGAATGCAGGAAAGAGTTATGGAAAGTTTTTTAAAAGGAGGTGGCTAACACAGGCTTACTTCACACAGACTTGGAAATCAAGAAAAATAGGGATGAATTTCAAAATAATTAGAAAACAAATTGCTTTTGAGACAACATTGAGATTAGACACAATAAATATTCAATGTTTCAGGTCCAACTTAAGGTATAAGAGATTTCTTCCTGCCAGTCCTGTCAGACTGATATTTTTAGGGATTATACTCTTTCCAGAAAATCACTGTTATGGCTGATTTTTTTTTTCAAGGTTCAAGGACAAAAATAAAGAAGTCTCTCTAATCAAAAAGGACATGAACTACTTCAAATTCCTCTTCAATCTGGAACAGCTTCTTGAAAAAAGATATCAGTAGCCAAGGATAAATGCAATAAACAACTTTTTTCTCAACACATGTTGAATTTATGTATATGATAAATATTTTGCTCATTAATGTCATTTTTCTGCAGCATTTTGGTTGGTCTTGAATAAATGTTCAGTCATTTTTAAGTATTTATTATTTCTTTTCCTGCAATTACCCCAGAAATCAAATCAATGTTTGTTGCTTTAATACCATAAAATGTGAGATGAGGTGATAAATACTTACTGCATCCATAAGCCCTTTTACTGTGGGTGATTTTAACATCAAAGCATCAAACACTTCATCTGCTTCTTTCCTCACATACAGCAGAACTAAAAAATAAAGAATCAAACTTTGGAGAAGACGTTTAACAGTCCCACAAATGAATCATTTCCCTTGGACGGCAAGTTCTTTCTTTCCTCCAACTGACAATTGAAAAAAGCCAGACACTTCTATTAAAAATAAAACTATCACAGAAAATAAGTATGTCATGGGGCAAGAGGGATATTAGCTGATTTGGAAAGGGTGTCCTTTTTCCCCTTCCAAGAAATTTTGTTATGAATAGCAGCATTTCTTAAAACTTTTAGAACTTCCAAATCAATTCATGGTAGTTACACTGGAGTTCTCTATAGAATTGAGTTCTTGAAGTTCTCTAAAGAATTGGATGACTTGCCATCATTGATATCAAATTTACCAATAACTAAAAATTTTATTAACTTATAATGCAAATACTCAAATCTGATAGAGTGAATTTTCAAATTAAGTACAGGTAGTTTTCAACTTACGACAGTTCATTTAGTGACTGTTCGACGTTACAGCAGCACTAAAAGTGACATGACAGTTTTTCACATGTATAACCGTTACAGCATCCCCATGTGATCAAACTCCAGACACTTGGAACTGATTCATTTATGATGGTTGTCCCTGGGTCACTTTTTGCAAGCAAAGTCGATGCAGAAGCCAAATTCACCTCACAACCATGTTACTAATTTAACAGGTGCAGAGCAGTGGTGGGTTACAACCAGTACGCCCCGGCAGCGCCATAGGTGCTGCCGGGAGAACGAGTTCGGGGACGTGGCAGGCCTGGGTTGCTGCCGGTTCCAGCAACCCAGGCCGCCAAACTACTACGGTTTCGGCCAAACTGGTCTGAAGTGGTAGAAACCCACCACTGGGCTACATGTAATTTACTTATAACATGTATTTATGTGATTTCATGATATACCCTGGTTTTGAGGTTTTGAGCCTGGCTATTTCTCAACTATGTCTCAACCGCTAACCAAACTTTCAAAAGCCGCCAAATGTATTGGGCTATTATTTGCATCTTCTTTGGAACCACTACTCACTACATCTTGGAGGCATCCAGTTGGGAAAGTGCTGTGTATTTTACACGTAGTTAATCATCAATTGCTGCAAGGAATATAAGACAAAGACAAATTTAAGACTAAGAACAAATAAATACCTTTTTTTGCTCCTTCTTCTTTTATTTGTTTCAATGGTGGTGGAACAAGGTCCTCTTCAACTGTGCGGAATATCCGTTTAGCTAGAATACTGCCACTGAATAGAAAAACAAAAGGAAACAGATTTGTAAATTAATCAAGATACAATAATTTTAGGACAAGGAATAGCAGAGCCTGGAGGCAGAGTCAAAAGAGGAATCAGCCTAGAATCTTTGTGTAGTTACCAACAAAGTACAAAGTCCCTTGAACTCTTATCTAGCATAAAATTAGTGCTTTTTGTTTAGTAGATGGCCAATAAGCATGAACAATAAATCAGTTTAATTGGAACTTCACACGTGATCCTCGTCTTTCGCATTTGACAATAATCCTTCTTGTTCAGGGAATGATTGCTGATCAAAATTAACTAAAGATAGAATATCGATCCAATGGAGTCTCCACAAAGCATACTTTTTTTTAAATGAAAAAATCAGCACCTTCACACTAACTGAATCTGATGTAACTTTATTTGATAGGATTTAAATCCTTCTTGCTGTGGAATGCATATTGATAGATATCAATGCAAAAGCTGCAGTAAGTACAATGGGTCTGTTCTCTATGCTGCCGTTTTAATTATCTTTATTCCTTGACAGCAGCCATCAGGCAAGCTGATTTTAGTATAATATTTGCTCTCTGTTTAAAACATTCAAAAGGTAGCATTAATTCTGACATGTATCCTTTGGCTTTCCCTCCAAATTGCAATAATATAATGCAATAATAATTGCTAATTATTTCCATCAAACATCATGTTATAATTTCACCCAGACCATATTAAAACATAATAAACATAAATCAATTCATCGTTTACAAAAAAAGTCAAGATCAGCCTGTTTAGTGAAACGATGAAATCATAATTTTTAAGGAAATGCTGGCACTTTTGATAGGCCTGTTCTAAGAACAAGGTACTGTTAATTCCATGGGCATAAAACTGATGTATTATCTAAACTAACAGCTTGAGATGTTACGTAAGATACTAGGCACAAAAAAAGTTAAGACTATAAACCAGTTTTATGCTTATATATATTACCAAAACTGAAACTCTGGGGAACTAAGCTTCCATTTATTTATTTGATATAATTTAGAGGCTTTCTGATTTCAAATGTCTCTGTGCAGCTTGTGCTTCAAAATTAAGAAACACTAATAATTCAAAAGCAGATAATAGATATCAAGGAAAAAAATTATACATAACAATAAAGATTGACCTACAGAGGGTTTTCAAACTCACATCATCACGGCGGCATCATGTGACGTATTGAAACTTTCCCCCTTCTCTAAACTGGGCATGGGGGCGTGGCCAGCACATCACTCATCCGGCCCATGGGCCAGGAGTTCAACAGCCCTGACTATATGGATTTCTGGAGGGGATCCTGCTCCAGAAAGCAGGCTCTATGACGGAAGAGCTATACATCCAAGTCCTTGCAGATCACATTGTTTAATTGTGGGGATCTGTTTCAGTGTTATTCATAGATATGAAGCAATTTCTACTCTAAAGGTCAACAAGGCAGGCAGGCAGATCACAGGAAGGTAAGCGGAGTGAAGAGGAAATTCCAACAATCACTGAACTCCAGATGATTTACCAATGATTATTTTCACAAAATATTTCAAAATTGGCAAGCTGAACTATATTAAGCTGAACTATATTAAGGTGCATTATTCAAGTTGTTAAACAAAAATGTATTAAGTCTTCTATAACCCGGAATTCGCTTTGCCTTGCTTCAGATGTCCTGGTGTGGACATCTTTTTGAAGCATACCTAAGCCAAAATTATATTTCAGGAGGTGCAGATTATGATACTAAATATCAGATAATTTCTATCAGAAGCAATAAAAATTCTACAACAAAAGAAACAGCACTGTTGGGGGGGAGGGGAAGAGCTTCGATCTGCATGAGAATTTTCACGTTTATATTAATATTTTGTGTAAGGGGGTTGGGTTCTAAGTTACAAAATGTATTGTAAAGCTCATACCCTTCTCGTTCATCATCGTTGTTATAATAAACCTGCAAAAAAGAACAACAAACAGATTTATAGTTAGGGTGTGTCCAGGAAATCAAGCAAGAGGCCAAGCCATGCCCTTGCTCTTTTTCACATAAATCAGTTGCTCATTTTGTTCAGTTTTGGCAATGCCCCATTCATTTTTAGAGGATTTGTGAGAAAAAAAAGTCTCTGACAGGTCATGTCTGTTCAAAGTTTAGAATTCTTCCATTCTCTGTTGCTTGTTTGAATTAAACAAAGTCAGGTAAACACAGTTGGTTTGTCTGCCAAAGGTGTAAACTGCTCTGAAAAATATGGATAGGATGGAATTCTTCTCTTTCACTCTGTATTTCCTTCCATCCTGGAAGAGTCAACACCCTTTAAATCTGGGGAGAAGATGTGGCTGTGCTTTAATATGAAAAAAATGGCTTAAAACGGGGGTGGCCTGCTACGGGTTTGCCCGGGTTAAGGAAACCCGTAGCTAACGTTATGGCCAGTTCAGAGAACCTCCAAATCCCAGCCCTGGTTGGCTGTGAGCACCACGCCCTGCCCCTGCCATCCCACCATGCCCCTCCCAGGAGTCTCCACGCAGCCCATTTTGGTAAGTGCAGGGCCTTCATGAGGCTCAGGGAGGGGAAAAACGGGCCTCCCGAAAGGCCTCGGGATCTCGGGAGAGGGAGATTTTGCCCTCCCAGAGGCTGGAAGAAAGTCTCTGGAGCCTGGGGAAGGTGAAGATGCCCCCCCCCCCTGTCTTGGTGCAGGAGGCCAACTACAGCCACGCCCTCCATGGCCATGCCCACCCAGCAACCAAGCAGAGAACCCATTGCTGAAATTTTTGAAGCCCACCCCTGCTTGAAAAGAATACTTTCCAGCCATATTTGACTTGATGCTAGGCAATTTGACATTTTAATATGAGGAAGACACAGCTTTTTCTGGGACAGGGGTCACATTTGGCCTTGGAGGACCTGAAGAACAAAGGATGCACTAAAATTGGTAATTTCTGCTAATTCCGTTGAGAAGAGTTTGCAACAGTTTCCCCTTGAATTTCTTCATAAAAAAGAGAGACATGATCAAAGGAACCTTAACATCTCAGCTTTCCTTCTTCAATCTTGGAAAATACTTTTTAGGTGACAGTAACTCTGTTCATACCGATTAAATAATAGTAGATTAAAAGAAACATTTAACTTTTGCCCTTTCTGTTTTAAATTTGGTTAGGCTGAGCAAAAGAGCTGGATTTTGATAGCTCAACTCTTAGCTCTGTTCAGTAGATTTAATTTCAGTTGTGATCCACACCTCAAAGACAGAGGATGTGAGTGGCATACAGAAAGTTCTCTGTTCAATCTTTGGCAACCAGATGAAACAATGACATGAATGAGCCCTTGCAGATTCAAGATTGCTATTCTGACCTAGGCTTCCTTAAAAAGCATGAAGCAGAGTCTTGGTCCCAGCAAAAACTCTTTTATTTACACGACTGTGAATTCCTTTCATTCACAGTTTCCAAGGCTTAGCAAACAGTCTTTCAGAGGAATGTTTATCAACACGAACCTTATCTCGTCTGGAGAGCTGCCAGATAACTAGTTTCCAAATGCAGGGCAAGGCAACACTTGGCACCGTCTCTTATAGTCACAAACAGAACTTTCCAATCTTGAAACGACCGAAGGAATGAATTGTTTCCTACAAAAGCTCACACCCCATTTGCTCCTCTTTTGCTTCCTATGGGAGGAACCAATCATCTCCAGGGTGTGGCTTTACTCTCAAGTCATCCCTACTTTCTTAGTTGTTCTTGTCTTCTAACAGCTTTGCACATGCGCACACTGGGAACAGGTTCCAGCTGTTCCTCTGCCTTACTGCTATCTAGCTCCCCCTCTGCCCCCGACGCAGAGCCCTCATCTGAGCTTTTCTCAGCTCCCAGGACTGGCCATGTTCCTCCCCAACCTCTTCACTGTCCGCCTCTGCTGCCAGCTCCACTAGCCGCCACAACAATTGCCACCACCATTTCCTAGTAGCTCTACTGTCTTAGTTGGTGAAATAATCTGCGAGGTGGCGCAGTGGTTAAATGCAGCACTGCAGGCTACTTCAGCTGACTGCAGTTCTGCAGTTTGGCTGTTCAAATCTCAC